ATATATATATATATATATATATATATATCATATATACATATATATAGAAATTAGAGCTTTTTTTTTTTTTTTTTTTTTGATGATGACAAAACGTAAGAAATATACAATTACCTTAATTTTTGTGGCCACTTGGCCAAAGAACTACATTATAGACCCTTTTGTTACAATTAGTAGATTTCGAGACCATCAGAAAAAATGAATAACCCTTGTCACCTTTACCCTATTCGTATCCAATCTAAACTTTTAGTAACTATAAATGAACATAATTTTATCATTGAGGTTGGGCAAATAGAATCTGAATTTGGACTGCATCCAAGTTATATTTGTAAGTGTGATGGTGTTCAAAGTGAGATTTGTAAGGTGTCTAGTATAGCTATTACAATGGTATATCAAAAAATTTTTCAAACAAAAACCAATTTTTTGGGGCCAGAAGTTATAGGTTACGATACACCTGAAGTTGTTCAAGAGTACCTTCACGAATTGCCATTTCAAGTTTTTAATTACTCTTTTAATAAATTACAAATATAGATACTTGGAGTTAGAAAATCAAATAATGAAAAGTTTAACTTCACTGGACCTGGGTTCAAGTCAGCATTTATTTACTCATATAATAGACAACGCAGTGTTTTTTTTCAAGAAGTAGAATTCAGTGAATGCAGAATTATAATATACACGGAGGGAGATAGGTTTAGGAAAACGTTTGTTGGTTGTGATCCAGATTCCATTTAGAATCAAGTTGGTTATCTAAAACAGTTTAAGGGTTATCAGCTTTTTGGACTTGATAATCAATACATTCAAAATCTTATTCAGAATATTCCTACCTGTTTATTATCAGATTGGACCAATGAACATTTGATGACATTAGCATATAAATATCATCTTAAATGATGTACTAGCGTACAGGTTAACTGGCAAAAACTGTTTCAGGACTGGGTATTACATGAACATACCATTATTGAATTACGATCAGTTTTACGAATCTTATATCCAAAAGAATATGTAATAGGTGATCGTGAATATCAAGCCTGGAAATCTTGTTGAGGCATATCGGTTGTGTTGAAATAACACCATTCGAAAAAAATTAATCAGAAGTATGTATTATAATTTTTTAAATAATTGCAACAAAATTTATTTATTTATTTTATTTACACAGTTTAGATTTTGGTCAAG